TGGGTCGATTCTGACAATCTCCCACGATTCTTAGGTAAATCATTTTCTGAGAATCGACCGCAGAATCGCCATCAGAATCGCCGCCAGAATCGCCACTCTGACTTCCCCTATTAGCTCAGCTGCGTGGGGTCAGACCATACGGACAAACCTGAATCGAATTTTCGACTCAACCTGAAGGTAAACCAACACCCAACCTAGTCTCCCGTAGACAGACGCTATGCACAACCAACTGATGCTCATTCCTCGCAGGTTGTAACCCAACTGGCAAATCCCCCGCAGCAGCCCGTCCTCTCGCACCTCACCAACCTCAAAAAATTTCCCGCCTCACGTCCCGCACACATTGCCAACTTCCCATCCTTTCATTTTTTTTTTTTGAACCAACGCATTCGCCGCGGCCAACCCCCACGCGATGATCTCCAATCTAAGCGCTCTGATCCCCATCAGGCTCATCAACTCGAGATAATCTTATCCGATCCCCAACGAAATCGCACAAACACATGTCTGCCCCTATTTTGCCCCAAAGATTCGGAATCTGAAAAGAATAAAAGAAAAACACATGTCGACTGCGGAGCTCGAGACTGGAAGTGGTCGTTCCTTCCCAGCCGTACTGTCTCCATGGGAAGCAGGGGGACAGACTGTGGATTGTATTACTTGTATAAATGGCCCAATGGTACATATTACACCTGCGTAGTCCAAACGACACGAAGGAAGGAAGGAAGGAAATAAGTTAATTAAAAACTAGAGGAGAGGGAGGTATGCATGTGTATGTATGTAAGGTCGAGGCGATGCAGCGTACGTGTACAGAGGAAGGAGAGTATGTAGCGACGAAAAAGAAAGAAAGGAAAAGGAAAAGGAAACAAATGAGTGTGTGGTTGGTACTGCTGATTGTACATGGTGTCTGCGGGAGGCGGGAGGCGAGAGGCGAGAAGAGAAAGCGAGAACAACGCGAAAGCAAGGCAGAACGAGCGAAGCGAGCCCGAGCCCGAGCCCCGAGTCCGAATCGGAGAGCCTAGGGCGGGCGACCGCGACCCGAGTAAGACGAGACGAGGCGCGGACGCGCAGCCTACGAATCCACCTCCATCCGCCCCTCCCTCTCCCTCTCCCTCTCCCGTTCCCGTTCCCGTTCCCGCTCCCTCTCCCGCTCCTCGCGCTCCTCCCGCGCCCCAAGGCTCATCCCCCCAAGCCCAAACGCCGGACTCGGCGCCCCCGCGTACCCAGGACTCGCCGCCCCACCGTACCCAGGGCTCGGCGCCCCGCCATACGACCCCGGGCTCGCCGCGCCCGCATACCCCGGACTCGCGTACCCCGAGCCCGAGCCCGCCCCCGATCCCGGACTCGCTGGGCCCCTATACCTCTCCCGCTCGCGCTCGCGCTCGCCCCCACCCCCCGGCGTGCTCGCGCCCGACGCCCACTGCGCATGCGCCCCGTCCGGCAGTGCGAGCCCGTCCATCCCGCGCTGGATCCCCACCGTCCGCAGCCGGTCCACCCACCTAAACGACGCGCCGCGGTTTCGTCAGTTTACTTCAAAAAGGAAAGCAAGGAAGACGCACGCATCCGCCCGCTCCAGACTATCGCTCACCACCGCCGTCACCCCCCGCATCATGTCCAGGCTCTCCGTCGCGAGCGTCAGCACCCGCTGCGCCGCCGCGATCGCCTTCCCCGCCTCCACCACGCCCCCGCCCGCGCTCGCGCTCGCCGACCCCCGCCGGCTGTGCCCCCCATGCGCGTGCGCGTGCGCAGGCGGGTGCGGGTGCAGCGGCCGCAAATGCGCGTGCGGGCTCGCAGGCGCCGACCCCGCGCCCGTCGGGCTCCCCGGGCGCGACTCCGCCCCCGCCCCCGCCCCGCGCTCCCTCCTCATCCCCCTCCTCGCCGCCGTCCCCGTCCCCGTCCCCGTCCCCGTCCCGACCCCTCCCACCCCCGTCCCGACCCCGACCCCCGCACCCCCGGGACTCCCCGCCCCCTCCCCGAACCTTTTCGGCAAATCCAAAATAAACCCGCGCACCCGCCCCGCGCGGGCTCCGGCAGCGCGCCGCCCGCGTACTTGGACACGACGCCGACGACCTGCCGGATCGTGTGCACGATGTCGCTGCGCAGGTGCGCGAGCGTGCGCAGGTGGTCCGGCGTCAGCGCGGGCTCCGGCGGGGCGGTGGCGACGGCGAGGCCGCGCGGCGGCGGGAGCGGGTGCAGGGACGCGATGAAGTCGCGCAGGATGAGGATCTGCGCGTCGATGTGCTGCGTGGCGTACTGCGCGCGGCGTCAGCATGCTAGGAAGAGCAGAGTAGAGAGCCGGAAGCGCGCAAACGCACCTGCAGCCACCCCAGACAATACCGCAGCCGCCGCATACTCTCATCGCTCAGCGCAGCGCTCAGCCCCCCCGCCTCGAGCAGCATCGCCTGCCACCGGCTGCGCTGCGCCACCTGCCGTTCCTCCCCGTCTTGTCTCCCTCCTGCGTCTCTTCCCGTGTCTCTTGCTGGTTCTCGTCCCCCGTCTCGTCCTGGTTCTCGTCCCGGTTCTCGTCCCGGTTCTCGTGATCCCGGTTCTCGTCCCGCTTCGTGCTGCGCACCATCTCTCGACACCCCTCGCGCCCGCACCCCCCTCGACCCCCCCGCCTCCCCAAACGCCGGCGGCGCAGCGACAAACGGCGACGTCGCTATTGCACCCCCACCACAATCAGTTCCCTCTTCCATTTCTCTCAAGAGACGCTGCGTACCTTCCAGCCAACTCGGCACCTTCCGCTCCCGCTCCCTTTCTCTCTCCTCGCGCGCGGGGTACTCGCCTGTCCGCGCTGGGTAGTCGCGTTCCCGGTCGTCCCCGTGCGGATACCGGTCGCGCTCGCCCCGCGCGGAGTAGTCGCGCTCCTCCTCGTACGGCCGCGGCGGCTGCGGCTGAATCTCGCGATAGCGCCCCTCCTCCCCCCCGTCGAGCGGCTTCCCGCGGTACTTCTCCAGCTAAACGCGGCGAAGGGAAAGCATCAGCGTGCGTTGCGTTGCGTCGCGCCGAGAAATGACAACGACGCGAATAAAGTGGGATGAATGGAATGGACGGGCGGAGGGACAGCAGTCGGGCGACTCGGAAGCCGTCCCCGCGCCCGAGACGCGGAACCGCAAGACGCACAGAACAATATCCTCCGCGCCCCGGCGCCCTACGCGGCGTGAATCACATGCCCGCGCGCTAATCGCATCCGCATCCGCATCCGCATCCGCATCAGCGCCGATCCCAGGGCCATTGCCAAATGAAAGACAATCACGGACGGAACGGAACGAACGATGACGGGGCAGGGTGCTGCGCAGGACCGCAGAAGTACAGATGAATGCAAGGGGGAGGGGAGAGGATGGGATGTAAAGCGAATGGGAAGGGACGGGCAAGGAAAGGAAAGGAAGGGCGGCGGCGCGATGAAATCACGGGGAAGAAAAAGCACGCCGTGCTCGCGAAAGAAACACGCGCCTGCGGGCCTCTGAATCCACAGACACGAGAGGGGGCGGGAAGGAAGGCAGTGCGGTACAATCACGGGCACGCCCAAAAAGCACGCCGCAGAAACATGCGCCCGTGGGCTCCGCGTATCCATTCGGATCCCGTATCGCGTATCGACGCAGGGCGGATCGCGTATCGGGGGAAAGCAACGAGGAATATTGTTTCCACTTCCGGACGTGGAAATGAAAGTGGAACAAGGGCGGAGGACCGGGCGAGCGAACATATGAAAGAAGGAACGGTCCCGATGCAGGCATATGCATAGGGGCGCGAGTGTAATAGAATGGAATGGAATGGAACGGAATTGGGAAACGAAACGGAGCGTGGAAAGCAAGATGGAAGAAAGGAAAAATGAAAGGGAAGCCAGCAAAAACTGAAAGGGAATGAAAGAACCCACCCGATCGAGCATCCCGCCGGCGAACTCGTCGATGCGCTCGCCCGAGCCGGCTGGGAGGCGGCTACTCGCGTGCCGGAGGGAGGTGCTCACGAGCGAGGAGGTGTACTATAATTCGAAGGGCAAAGTAAGCGTGTGAGCGAGACGAACAGACGGACGGCACGCACCTGCACGACGCGCGAGTTGGCCTTGCCGGCCTCGTAGACGCGCAGCGCGCCGCTGACGAGCGGGAGGCTCTGCATGCGCGCGAGCGCGGGGTACACCGGCTGCGCGCCCCCGCCCTCATCGATATCTGAACTGCGCTCGTCCTCGGGCGGCGGCGTGTGCGGCGGCGACGAGCCCGGGTGCGTCGACGCCAGCGAGAGCGAGAGCGCCGGCGTGTGGCTCGTGCTTGCGCTCGTGCTGCTCATGCTCATGCTGGGCGATACCTCGGGCCCCCCCGCGCCCTTTTGCTTTTGAGGCGGAAAGGCGAATGCTGTGGCGAAAGATGAGAACAAGCCAGGGGTGATCCTGGGACCTCGCGTGAGAGGGACGCACGGGTCTGGGGTTTCTGCTGGGTGCCGTTGCGCATGTCACCGAGGGCGCGCACGGCGATGCGGACGTCTTCGTCCTCGAGCTCGAGGTCCATCGTAGGCGTTGTCGGGGGCGTGGTGGGAGCAATTTGGTGCAAAAGAACAAGCCTTCCATGTGTTTTCACGCAGACGCCCGGCATGTGATACCTGTCAGCCAAACAAATATCCGCAAAAGGGCATCCGTATGCCGCGGCAGACACAGTTCCCACACATGTCTAAAGCATATTCGACGTGATGCATGCAACTGGCGGCCTGCGATCTGGCTTTCCCTTCATTCTCCATATTTTGGAGGAGGGATGAAGCGAGTGCGATTGATATTATAATATCATCTCCCCGCAGGTGATTAATTTTATCAGATGTTTTTCCTCCGTTGAATTAAACTGCGCTTATTATTAACCGATATTAAAATCACTACTGCCTCCGGTCGCCGTAGTTGCCTGGGTTAAATTAAGGTCCCAATCTCGGAGGGTTGAACAATTTACGGCCATTCAGTACAGCGAAGGAACAGTTTGAGTTATAAAACAAACAACTGGAACCACATACATGCAGTGTGCACAGGCAAAACAAGGCCGTGCCCGGAATCGAACCGGGGTCGCCAGAATTCAAAGAGCTTAATACATCATCAGAATCTGAAGTGATAACCGCTACACTACACAGCCGATTCCATGGGGTCCAAAGTCAGCCTCTAGACCGGCGGCGTATATACCTGCTGTTATCCTTCAGTTTGATCGGCATCTTTCTCAAAAGTCCCGCACCTCAAAAGCAATTAATCCAAGAACGTAAAAAATAAACGAGTTGGAATGGAGGAAAAAAGAGGCCATGCCCGGAATCAAACCGGGGTCGCCAGAATTCAAACTCATATGCGGCCTCATCAGAATCTAAAGTGATAACCGCTACACTACACAGCCCACACCATATGAACACATCAGGATGATGGCTCGCCGGTGCATCTATTGGACAGCATCGCAAAATCCCAATTTCACGTGGGTTGGCCCTCAGAGTATACTAAGTCTTACTACCAAATACTTGTCCAGATCCTCTTCTTGAAAAAAATGCATTACATTTATATTTAATTCTAGGTCAAAATGCCGGAAATGTGTCGCAATATTCCGTAACCTTCATGTGCACCCACCATATATAAAAAAGCCCGGCCATGCAGCACTGGAGCCTGTATGTCTTGTGCCGAGTGGCGGTGCTCATTTTATCACTGTTTGCTGCCGAGTCTTTTCGTCTCAATCGGGAACATGGCTGTGCACCTCTGGAGTCGTTGTGCCGGGCAAACTGCCTCTCGACAACATCCAGGCTCAAGACTAAAAGTAAACCTCTCCCATCAACAAAAAATTACTGCGAGGCTAATTATCCCGACTTGAGGCTCTATTTCCCGACTTGATTGAGATGTGACTAGAGGGACTCGAATTCAGCCGAAAATGTGACTCGGACTCGGACATGCAGCAAGGAACATTCATTGGTATGCTCATTTTTCAGCACAATCTCTGATAATAACAGAACGACAAGACCAGGTGCATGTCATCGGCTCCTTCTGGCACGACGACTTGGATGTGACCACAGCGGACTGTGAATGGCAACTATATCTGGTTCATTGGTTAGCAGACACAATATCATATTATTGGACTGATTTTCTCACAACTGTGGGTCTATCTTACTGTCCATCTATATTAGTGGTACAAAATATCACACCGGAGATTGCCAACTTTCAGCACAGCCAAGGTGCAATTCAATATCTAAAGTATCGAATTGGGATTAAATCGGCCCGAAACTAGAGCTGATTCTAGTACATAGTTTCATGCTCTAATTTCAGACCCATTTTTTGTTATAATTCAATACTCTGGTGTCCCTCGGCTGCACTGAAATTTGGCCCATTGGATCAGATAGTATCACCCTTATTGGCTCGGTCACAGTGCTTGTGGTTGACCAAAACAATTACAACAAATTTGCCTGAAAAGGAAAGAGGAAAAAGGAAAGATTCAAGGATTTCTAGAGCTCTTCCAGTCACAGCTCTCTCGAAAATTTCCTACACATCAATCATACCAATAGTCTGTTTTTCCCCAAAAATCTGCTGCTGCGCGGCACCTCTGTTCCACCAGATATGTAAAAGTTTCAAGATTTAAAGGTCATTTTGAGTGACAGAAACTGTGTAAAAATTAAATGTGCTTGTGGAAGCATGCACTTGGAGGCTAGAATTTGCACCCTGCAAAAATTTATATACCCATCGTTTACCTCATGTAGAGGGATTGTTCTCTCACCTGTTTTTTTTTTCACTATAGTTTAACCTGGAAGCTAAGGCAGTTCGGATGGATCCTGGAGGGGAATATGACAATCACACTTTCTGTTCATCCATGTAATATGCATTTCTGCTAGTACTCTGAGCTTAAAAACCTGAAAAAATGAAACCCCGGCCAGCACCGGCCGTAATGTGGACTTCGAGGTGTAATAGATGGCACAGCTTCAGGTCAGACATTCCATAAATCATATACTGATAGGAGTGGAACAGTGCCACCCTTGGAGCAGATGCACACTGCACACACTATGTTTTTCCATGCCTAAAAATAAAACATGTTGAAGCGGTGTGCAGCAGTCAAGTATTTGATTCGGGGGTGGTTGAATGACTTCTAACAGACATCCTTCACCGCATTTAGAGTTCCAAATGTAATGGAGCTCTCTTTTTAGTAAATATGTAGTTTTCCTATGGCTGTACACCTGTGGGATTTCTTCTTTAGTTGTGGGTTTCTGGTCAATATTTGAGGTTGAAAAACTCCCGTAATATAAGCTAAAGATGTGCAACAGAAAGTAGCAGGTTAAATATCCTGAAAGGATGTGATATTGGGTAAGAACGAGTCGACACAAGTTACCAATGATCACAGGCAGTGTCCGGATCAATCCGAAGCGTGAAAACTATTACCGAATACAGTTAGCTCTCACAGTTAAGCCATATATGGCTTAACTGAATTAGGTTAAGCCGCATAAGGGAATAGAAGCACCACAACCACCGTGACCGAGCCCCCTTATTGAGAAAAGACTCCTGTTGAGCCCCCAGCGCCGGTGCAAAGTGATGGCATTTCTTCCTTCTATACATTTATGTGCCGGCATATGTGGTCAGCAGACACAATGTTGTATTATTGGACTGATTTTCACACAACCGTGGGTCTCTCCGCCTGCAGAACACATGCATTGAACACACTTGGTTCCCAGGTGCATCTTTCTTTGCCCGGGTGTCTTTCACCAGCCTATGTCAGCCTATGTTGATTATACCGACACACATCCACAATTATGATGCTCATGCACTATTCGTGATAACAAGTGGTATCAGGCAAGGGTTTCACACAGGTGCCAGATATCTATCACTAAAGCATCAGGGAACCCCGTTCCCTGATGTACAGATGATATCACACAAGAATAGGAAAGAACATAAAAGGCTGCTGATTTAGAGCAGCTGTTCATCATTCCAAAGATGCCCCATCAACCCACCACCACCGAAATTCGTCTGGACAACATTGTAGCCTGTTTGGCTCCTGCTATACCACTCTTGAATGAGCTAAATGATGCATTTGGCACACCTTTTGTGGCAGCTATTTCAAATACAACCCTCGCATTAATTACAGGGGTGCAGGTAGGTAAATCTAGCTGGATGTGCTATGAGGCTGACTCAGGATCCTAGAAAGTAAAGAGGAACAAAGATGCATGTGCTGAGCTCATGGAAAACATCCATAAAGTGTTATATGGCATCATCAACTTGCACATAAATTCTGAAACCACAGGATTTCTACCACCAACAACCTTGCATCACATAGGTATATTTACCGAGTATATATATTTCTATAAGCATTCCACATATGTGCTGAAAAGATTTCTAGGACATTTCACAAGATTCTCGTATTTGTGGAGGAGCAACAGGACAGGAACAAGATCAAGCACTTTTTCCGCCAGAATGAAATCAGCACTTTGCTGAAGGATTGCAAAAAGGGATTACAGCAGGCTATGGAAGTGTTGAAGGTCAAGATCTTTGCATTGATGTAATATATAAAACCAATAATCCATTAGATCAATGAGACTATATTCAGCAACATTGCTGAGATGCAGAGTACATCTGAAACCATGCATAGGGAGCTGCTTGAAGTTATTTCAGCCCTATCTGATGGGACAGTATCCGACAGATCATCATCTGTGCGTAAATTACTGCTGTATGAATTCAACTTACCAGTTTAGAAACAGGTCTATCAATATTCCAATGCATCAAAAAATAGGTAAAGTCCATACCAGTTGTTGGAACCATGCTGAGACTGCTGGTGTCAAGCTCCAGTTCATTTTCTATGCTGCCATCCAAGCCCAAGATATTTCATGGTCGTGAAGCTGAACTCCAGGATATTATGAAGATCCTCAATGAGGAATCACCCCGGATTGCAATTCTCGGTGCAGGAGGAATGGGAAAAACAAGTCTTGCACGGGCAGCTCTCCACCACCCTGAAATTGCCACCAAATATGAACATCAATTCTTTGTTAGCTGTGAATCAACCAGTACCAGTGCAGGCATAGCTGCCCTCCTTGGGGCACACATAGGCCTGAAGCCCACAAAAGATCTTACAAAACCTGTGGTTCGGTATTTCTCCAGCAAGCCTGACTCACTCTTGGTTCTGGATAATTTTGAAACACCATGGGAGCCAATGGAGTCCCGAGGCAGTGTTGAAGAGTTTTTGTCCCTGTTGGCAGACATCAAACACTTGGCATTAATTGTAGGCCTTTATTTTTTTACCTTCAGAGCAAAACTGATTCTTATACTTCAAGATTACAATGCGAGGTGCCGAAAGACCAGGAAAAGTCCGCTGGACTTGTCCATTCTTGCAGCCCTTGAAACCCTTGACAAACAGTGCGGCCTGGCAGACCTTTATTGACATTGCAGATGATTCTTATAAAAGTGAAGATATCAACCGTCTTCTCCAACTCACAGATAACATGCCATTGGCAGTGGAGCTCATTGCCCATATGGTTGATCATGAAGGCTGCTTCAATGTCCTGAGCCGTTGGGAAACAGAGAAGACCTCACTTCTATCCAGTGGATATAACAAGAGATCTAGCTTGGATACATCCATTGCATTATCTCTTTCGAGTTCCCGGATGAATTCCTCACCAGGGGCTAAGGAGTTGCTGAGCCTTCTCTCAATTCTACCAGATGGATTGTCAGATTTGGAACTCATTCAAAGCAAGCTCTCCATCCAGAATATCCTGGGATGCAAAGCTATCCTGCTTGGGGTGTCATTGGCTTACATTGATGACAAGAAGAGGCTGAAAGCCCTAGTACCCATTAGGGAGCATGTTCTGCAATTTCACCCACCCTCAGCTCGTCTGATTGAACCTCTGCAGAGGCACTTTCATTCACTGTTGCAGCTATACCAGAGATACCATGGTCAGGTCTAGATGGCAGCAATAATAGATCAGATTGAAACCAACTTCTGGAACCTGCAAAAGATACTCAAACAAGGATTATATCCAGATAGTCCAGATCTATTGGACACTATAGGGTGCACAATATCACTGAATTCATTTAACCGGTTCACTGATCGTGCATGGCTTAACTTGATGGATGTTATTCCAAGTGTCTGGCCTCAACTACATGATCACAAATTGGAGCTGCAATTCATCATTGAGACTCTTGCCTCAACAAACAATCATGTATCACCCACTGCAGAACTACTGGTGACCCGTGCAGTATTTCTCCTCCACAACTCCAATAATCCAGCTGATGAAGGTAAGCTTCTAATCATAATTTTAGCCCAGATTTCTGGTTAACATATGTCTAGCACATTTTTATACGATAGCTGGCGAATATTATTACTATTACATGGGTGATCAATCTCAAGGGGAGGAATTTCTCAGAAAAGGACTCACAGTGGCC